TATTTAACTAACTCTCAAAGCCTGCGTGATTGAGACTATAATAGTAACATATGAATTTTGGTAGATAAGGCTTGATCTGTCACAATAAACCAAAGCGTGTCTAGTTATGTCAATGATTCTAGAGGTCTTTTTGTTTCATGATGTTTCATGATGTTGGTTTAAGAGTGTGGATTGCTAAAGTGTCGTAAACAAAATAATTAAGTCAGGAATGATAATGATGATGAAACTTCCCTGCACATAAGTAACAAATGAACAAAGGTAGTTAACTATATAAGAGTAATGCATGGTCCATCATAAAGACAGAGCCAGGAGCGGAAAATATCACAGGGGAATCAAGAAATAAAGACATAAAACAGGGCTGGAGAAAGAAAGCAAATGAAATGAAAGCCAAACCAACTTCACATGCCCACCAAAAGAGTTTGATATAACTGCATTGTTGTTGCTTGTTTCAAGCCGCCCGAGGAGAGAATGACTTGGTCAAGGAAAAGGTCTCTTCTCAAACATTTATGACTGACTATAAGGTGAGTGGGTAGTGATCGTAAAGTGACACTTCTTGATTCGTAAATAGGGTTTATTTACCACTTTTTTACCCCTGTAGTTTCCACCAAGCAAACCGAACGACGTGAACAGCGATGCCATAGAACAGGACAAAGTTATAAGGATAATGTACATACAAACCAACCTATAAATGCAAAAAAAAATATAACAGAAATATCGATGCTCCACACGCTATGCATAGTTCTTTGCGAAATCGGAGCCTGGTCAGTATATCCCAGGCGCACGCCAAATCCAGAAGCAACCCAAAAAAAGGAAAGAAAAGGAAAATCCTCAGCGGGCGGGCCGTCGTAGATGCATGTCCTCGTTCCGACCTACATCATCGTGCACATCGGAATCTGCTGATCGATAATAAATTTTTTGCCGACTCGGTGCCTGACACCGTAATAAGCTGGGGACTGGACCATTCGGATCATGTTTCGGTCATAGTCCCCCCCTAGATTGCACACGGGGCACGACTTGGGCCAGGAGGTGAGGACGCACCCTACGCTAAACGGGAGGATGTGGTTGCCATTCAACTTCGAACAGTTGTTAAAACCGTTTCCCTTTTCGCAAGAGTAGCCGATGGTGAACCACCGGTGGAGACAGGTAGGTGATTTGAAGAGAACTGGTCGACACATGGTTTCTTTTCTTTCCAACTTTATTATTGTATAAGGTGTCGTCGGCGTATTTTTGAAGTGATGCGGTAGAAGGGCTGTTTCTGGGATGTAGACTTCGGGTGGAATGCGACGTGTGCGCAGCTAAAGGAAGTGGCTTTTGGCAGCTATATATAATACGTAGCTCAAGCTCCGACTTGGACGCTAACGAAATTGCAGGGCCTCGAAAGTAGATGGATGTTGGATATAGAAGAGAATGGAACGAAGTTTTAAAGTCTTGCCACGCAGATAAATATATGTAACGCCAGAACACCCAACATAGTTTTCGATGCTTAGTAGTGACGAGTGGAGGTAGTGGACAAGGAGATGTTAGATTGAAACATTCTTCACTGATTGAGCTATCGCCGGGGACATCACGGTTAATATTTTCCAACGATGATTACCACTCCCAGTCGGATGACGAACGGCCGGGGAATATATCTTTCTCCTTTCATTGTCCTCGTGTTAGTCTTCATTTTTCCCTTTTAGTGCAGTCATAAGTTCGTAAAGCTGTCCGATTTGCTGATCTTATTAGACAGAAGTATATCACCAGGTCAGCAAACTGCACGAAGGGATTTGAGGGAGGAAAGTCGAAACAAGGGTAGTAATAAATGACGAGAACTGAAATAATCAAACGTACCGCTCATCTTATCGATCTTTGCTTTGTCTAGTTTTTCTCCCTGCCAAGCATCTCCTTCTAGCTTTTGAGCATATAACTGCCACTCTGTAAGGAAACCAACCTATTCGGCAAATGTGTCAGTCTTTGTTTCCAAACGCGAAACGAGGGCTAGTGGTTCGGCTTACAATATGGATTGGGTTATCCACATTCCGATGAGCTCGAAATTCACTCTTCACATATTCATCGCCAAGTAAGCGCATGTCCTTTGGAAGCTTTTTTCGATGCACCCTGAGCAGTCGACGATACAGCTGCAGGGGTGGAAGCAGAGCGGACAGCTGTCTAGAGTTTACGGCCATTGGCAAGGGGTTGGCCATTAAAAGCCTAGGTGACACCCTCATTTTGTAGAGTTGGAATTAAAAATAGAAGTTGGAACAGCTCCCAACCCGAAGCATGAATCTTCAGTAAACCTTTGTTCGAGGTGAGAACATTCGGCTTTGCGGAAGACAGTAGAAAGTAGGAAACCGCCAATGGCGCTGTTAGAGCTGTCGGGATGGTGCAAGAAGAGAATGGCAAGCTCTAAAACCATCAATTGTTGTTCCCTCCCCAACCACAAGAGAGTATATATTAAATTGTATCCAAATTTCCGTGTCGAAGAAGCTGGATTACCTGATTGGGCACAAGGGAAGTGATCGCGTAGCCACGTGATGCTTTGTACTCCGCCAAAAATTTCCAAGCCGGCATCGAATAGAAATCTCTCAACAAACCGTTGATAATCAAGTCCTTAAACCGGTGAACTATCAGCAGCAGCGGCTGCTTCGCACAGCAGGGGATGACGCCATGAGTCGGATCGTCCGGGGATTTGTTCAATCATTTAGCTATGCTCCCAACTCCTTCGACCTCACATGTCTCGTTTGACACCATCTACGAACCATCGGAGGATAGCTATCTATTCCTCGACACCCTTTCGTCCCCAACAGAAACCGCATGGCTAACCCAGAAGTTCAATGCCTCTAAAACAAGCTCTGCCCCGGAATCCTCTGCAAATTCCCCTCAGCCGCTTGTGGTTGAGGTTGGCACCGGCTCAGGCGTGGTCCTAGCCTTCGTGGCTGCAAACGCCCACATAATTTTCGGGAGGAGGGATATACTAACTCTGGGCACGGATGTAAATAGCAATGCCTGCAGTGCAACACGGCAAACTGTTCGTCTGGCAATTGATGAAGCCCAGAAACACGAACTCGGAAACCCTGTTGCTGAAACGTCTACTGTGCGACCCAAATTCCTGTCATCCCTAACAGCGGACCTTTGCACACCACTCAGGGCCGGGTCCGTCGATGTCCTCATCTTCAACCCTCCATACGTACCTACTCCGGAGTTGCCAGATATTCTGTTAACCGAAGGGGGAGATCCAGTACTCTCTAGCCCCCCTCTCTCCCAATTTGAGCGCGAGTCTCACCTCCTTTCTCTCTCATATGCTGGCGGAGAACTTGGAATGGAAACTACAAATCGACTTCTAAATTCAATTTCAGAGGTGTTAGATCCAGAACGTGGCGTCGCTTACATTTTACTCTGCGCGCAGAATAAGCCAGATGAAGTGAAGACGCGTATCATGGGCTGGGGGTCGGGCTGGACTGCTGAAACTGTGGGGAAAAGTGGAGTGAAAGCTGGTTGGGAACGATTGGTGATATTGCGAATATGGAGAGAGTCCAATTCTTAAAAAATAAATGGAATGAGATGACATGAGACGAAGGGATAATTTCATAGAAATTTTCCCCGTGGTTGTCCATCCCGTTTGCCTTTCAATTCCAGTATTAGGTGATCCGCACGTGTTCTTTTTGGGCTTTTTTGATCTAGCAAAGGGTTTGAGAACCTTCCTAGATCAGGTTCTTCCTTGCCTTGGTTAACCACATAGTACTGTTTATATCACCCAAGGCTTACCTTTTTTCACTCCTTAACGACACCTTCGTTATATCTCCCGTAAACAAATAGATCCAACGTGGAGCGAATCAAGCGACACATATAAAAGCTTCTGATTCCCCGAGGTTCGCCAGTTGGATAATAGACAAAGTACATAAAGCAAAAGTATAAAAAGAAACAATCCACAGAGCCATCCATCCAGATCCGCACATGCCAGATTCATTGCAAAAGAAAATAAACAGGAAGGGAGAGGAACGAAAAAGTAAAACCCCCACGCATCGTTCCCAGAGCAGTTTTTGGACTTGTGCAGGCTCAGCGTTTGGTACATAACTGGCACAACCAAAATCTAATCATTATATAAACTCCGGTAAAGAGTCAACGGTTCACTCAAAACCCTCTGCCCCGTCCCCTTCCTCGGCCCCGCCCACCGCCTCGGCCTCTTCCTCCGCCTCCTCTTCCACCACGTCCGCGATCTGCTTCTTTTCTAGCTTTGTTTTTTGGCTTCGGCGTGTCATCCACGAGTAATGTGTCTAGCGGAAGGCTGTCAGGGAGGATGTAATATCTGATGGTAGAACCACGAATGTTTATGGTGTCAAGGGATATCGGGTCGCGGCCTTTTGGTGTCATCTTGACTGTGCGCAGCGCGGTGTTCATTTGCGGGGAAACAGATGTGATGGTGCCATGGAGGATGGTGCCTAGTGAATTCCGCAGCAAACTGTTAGCAACAATTACTGTAAGAACATATATGCACATAAAATGGTTGACCATTATCGGGATTAAAAGAAAGAGGCAAGTTGCAGCAGAGCCTAAAATCGTAGTTTGGGCTTCGAGGGCGGAGTCAAAGGATTTGCGCGCGCATAATGTAGCGCAGCAGGCGAGGGCTATCGTACCATTTTTGAGCTCGATCGTCACGGTTTCATTCGCACATTTCATAAGAAAGCTGTGTAAATAGAGAAGTATATCAGCTGACTATCCCGAGCAATTTTCGCAAATCATACAAGCTTCGTGCGGCAACTTACCGTACGAGCTTCATGGTGAGGTATATGTGCCAGATGGCACAATAACACAGTTACGGATCAAACAGGTATATATCTTCTCTCGCGCAAAACTTCTGTACAGGTGCAATGGTGGAAAGGAACAGTTAAGGACCCTTATGAACTGAGAAGTTACTGACGGCGTGATTGATGTCTTGCGTTTTGGCGTTCGATATTTGATATTTGATCACGTGATTTAGGACATCGACCAACGTGACGTTCACTAAGTTAAGTCCTGCTTCTGGATGTTTGGTCTAGCTCTTAATATAATGCCTACAAAACTATGCATAGTATATTAATAACTATGTAGTATATGACGATTATTCACAGAAGTTATCAGATGAGAGTTTTGAAATCAGAGTACTGATATATGATCATTTTTGCATGATTAAAACCAACCGCGATCGGTGAAATGAAAAAAACAGAATTCTATTTTAAATTTCGCTAGAATTGTTGGTTAACCAAGATATATACGCTAACAGAATATGGGAAAAGCCGCTCGCAATAAAGAGAAAACAAAATGAAAGGCGACATTGAATACTTTATGATGGATCGCTCAGAACTTGGCAAACACGTCCAACAAACCCCTTTAATCGGAGTGACCCCGGCGCAGCAGGTAAGGATGATGACGTTGTTGCCATCGTGGTGCCAGGAATAGCAAGCACGCGGGAATTCAGCTCAATCCACTCCACGGTAGAAACAAAGGAAAACGAGATTCTTATGTCATCAGATTCCTTAAAACCATTGGACATGCCTAACTTGTGGTTAGTAATTGGTTCAGGGTGACCATGGTGTGTTGTTTTGGCCGCAGGAAAGATATCGTTGTCAAGCGAAAAGATTTCCTCGTCCCCAGTTGAAGACTGTCTTTGCGTATTTCTGTTGGCCTCGACACATGTTACTTTGGCAGCCGCCCTGATACTGGCAATATAGACAATGGCGTTACCTCCTATTATAAGGGAAGAAGAGAGAGTCGAAGAGAAGTTTGAGGCTGGGAATATCGCAACGAATCCGGTGTGGAAGATGGGCGCGAGGAGTGAACTCGGTATCGAAAGCGGGGAGGAAATTGGGTGGAAATCAGCCAATACCATGCCTTTTCGGATGCTCCCTAGATATGGAGTTGCTTCGGCATTATCTATCCCGATGGTGCCGATTTGGTGCTCGAGTAGAGTAGTCACTGGTAGTCGCAGATTGCGGAGACTGACGACACGAATTACCTGCCAGTGCACTTGTTGCGCCTGAGAGCAATCTTTATCCGCAGGGGAGTTCTGCAAGTAAAACGTTGCAAGTTCCTCTGGCAGTGACCTGCTGAAAAGCGACTTTGACCGTGGAACCAAACGAGACGACTCGATATCCGTTCGTGAGTCCATCATAAGTGGTCCAATGACAAGCTGGTCGCCGATAGATATATTACCACGGCGGACGCGACCACACAAAATAATAGCTCTATCATGCTGACGCTTGCTGTCGCCTGCAACAGAGTAAACTTTGAAGGCTGGCACCTCAAACACTTCAGTAATATCAAACAGCTTCACAGCTTCATGCCTTGCAGTCTTTCTGCCGCTAATTGATATAGGTCTTGTAGAACTCTTCACGGGAATAGGAAGGGAGCGGAGCAATGCGTGCAGCTTCCCAATACCCGCTCCAGTAACGGAGCTTGTGATAACTATGGGAATCTTAGTCGCCCAGTCAGTGCCTTCTGCAGCAATTGTTTTGTCTACATCGTGCTGATCAGAAAGTGAAATCTGTTGAAGATTCACTTCGTGTTCAGCAATCTCTGTTGGGGCCGCGAGCATAACAGGCTTCCTCCCAATTAGCTTGATCGTGGATAGGATTTGGACGAGTGTTTGTCTGATTCCGGAACGAGTAGCCATATCAAGTTTTGTCACAGCAACGATGACGGGGAGTTCTAGCTTCATGCATAGGTCCAAATATGAGAGAGAGAGGTCCATTTCAGATGGAGTATTTAATTTTGGAGAATCTGACTGGCTGTTAGCTGGAATACAGAGCAGCACATAATGAGGCTCCCAGCTGACCAATCCCCGTAGTGTCGACTTGAGATACCTAGTTGACCCAGGTAGATCAGAGAGGAAGACAAGACGGCCACCTTGGGCGGTTGCATGAATATCGTTCCAAGCAGTCACGTTGCCAGACGCATAATTTACCACATCAGGCGTAGGTTCGGTCCCATCAGCCTCATTGGGGGAATAACCTATTAGCTCTTGCGCGATTGAGCTTGTGATCCCGGAGGCAATTTCATGGCGATGTTTCAGAAGGCTAAGTCGGCTCTTTCCCCTGCCGTTGTCAAGAGCGGAAGTAGACAGAGAGCCTAGAAGCGAAGACTTTCCAGCAGTCGACGGCCCAGCCATGACAATGTGAAGTTGTGGTGTTGAGAAGATGGTATCCTTCTCGGCCCCAGGCGATGACACCATCGCAGAGACTTTCGAATCCGACAATAGGCGTTGATCATCTCCAGAAGAGATGTGATCACTGTGTTTGAGATCAGGGCTTACAAGTGCCTCTGCGACCCAGAGCTTTCCAGTACGAAGAACAACTGGTTTCGTGTCATCATCCGCATTCTCGTTCCACTCACAATGGCCAACTGCTACCTTCCTTAAAACTTCAACGTTACAACCCAAACTCGCAGCCATCGCTTTAAGATTGGTAAGGCTTTCCTCTAGTTCATCTTCAGCAAGACCAACAAATGTACCATCATCTGAGACTCCAATCTCGTACAAGGCTCCCTGGGATTCCTCAAGGCCAGGAAGAAGTCGAGCAGGCTTACTAGGGACATTAAGGGTCGGGGTAGCTTCTGGTAGAACAGGAAGGACCAAACCAACAGTGGAAGATGAGTGGAAGGGGGAAGATTGCTGTAAACGCCAGAGAAGCTGAGTAGTCAGTTGCTGGATCCGGTGCTGGCGCGATTGACTAGACTGTGCCTGCGTCGGCCTAATTACCGGCTCCGAAGAAACTGACGAAGGTTCAGGACCAACTGGACTCTGTTTGGAGTGAACGGAGCCCGATGTCAGGTTCCCTGTGGATAATGACAGAAAGGAACGCCGCGAACGTAACAGAAGGTGAAGTTTATACTCCGTCGGTCCATCCTGTGGCTCTACCTCCAACTTTGTAATTCCGTAATCTACTAGGAAATTTGGGTCGTTTGGATCGAACGTACGTAAAGAAGCTTCTTGGGATGTCGCGTCACGATTTCCTGAAGGAATCCGTCGTGGTGTCGTAGAGCCAGGAGTCGACCATGGGGACGACACCCGCGGCGGATCGGGATCATAGGTGAAAACCGATGCCATCCGAAACCTGATAGCCGTGTATAAAGGATATTGCTGATAGGCGATTCCCAACCAATCCACTAGATACGATAGGCATCGGCCTACCGTTTCCTATATTCAAACTTTTGAGCTCGATTTAAGGGCAAGTCTGTAGCCGGGCTGGTCCGTAGGCGAAGTATAAGAGGTCTAAATGCCGAGTATTTGTACGAGAATAACGAATATGTGAGACTGAATGGAGTAACTGGATCATCTTGAGCTCCGAGCTTTTGTGATCGTGAAACTAGGCAAGTTTGGTTTTATGGGTGTGGAAGGGGGTAGCAAACGGGGGGATCAGAGAGAGCAAGGTTACAGCCAGGTAGACGCCAGCTGTATATAGTCAGGACAAAGGCGACATGTTCCTTACGTTGGTATAAGAGTCATCTCATGCGACAATCGCTGACTCGAAGTTTGTCCGGCGATGAGGTTGGCTGTCTAGTCACGTGAATAATGATCTGATAAAAATTTCACGTGATTTGTTGCCGCCAAAGGAGTTACAGAAATAAATCTATTTAACCAGCATATATTGTGCCTTCATGTCAAAACTACTCTTCAAATTGGAACTTGAGCAGTTGTTTTAAGATACTTTGATAATTGCAGCTGCAGTTCATTGATTCCCCATGAGTGTCTTGATGGTTGCTTGCTTTGGCAATGTGCATCCTTGGGACTGCCTTCAAGGTGAGAGAAATGGTAATCCTGCCAGAGGATGACAGACCAAGCGCGGAGCTGAACCGGAGCATCGGTCTGTAGGGCTGAGAGGAGAGGACGACCTAAACCAAAATGCGCTCTGCTCTGTACCTAACTTGGTACGTAGCAAACCTTAAAACCAGCGGGTATCCAGTCAAATATGGGCCGTAAACTAGTTGCTTCGTCCGATGAGATCACTGTCAGCTCAGGACCATCCTGTTATGGATGTGAATTTATCGCGATTTGGAAGCCGAATGGGTGGTCAAACCCTGCAATAATGGAAGATGCCTGTTTGAACTGTAACACCTCACCTGGTTTGGAGATAGTTAGCTGACAACCATCACAGGGAGGGGAAATTTGATGCGACAAATTGAAGGAGATCACAAGGTGTCCCAGTTACTTCCATAATCCCTAAGGAAATTTGGCCCAAACATCAATTGCAGTGCAAAGCTCTCCAGGCTCTCATCGATTATTTACCGCAAGGTATGTTACAGGACAGTAGCTATGTGGCTTCTCCATAAGTTACGAGCACGATTCGTCAAGGAGTTGTTACTTGACGTAACTCCAAGAACCGCTGAGGGGAAGTGGAGCGGCATCATGAAAAACATTACAGTGTTAATATTGTTCAAAAGAAGATAACGCGAATTCCTAAACACTTATTATGTGGAAGGTGTAAAGCTTGTGTGATTGAAAGGTTGCTAGCTTGTGGAAAGTTATATCCATACCGGAAAAACGTAGGCTTATTATACAACCGGGTTATGGTTGTTCCACCATGCCAGTCGCCGACACCGTCGCCGAACTGTAAAATATAATATAATGGTGGATTAGCTGTGGAATCACTGTAAATGAGTTATGAACAGAACAAAATCATCATTGTATTGACAATGTCACTGATTTCTATCTATATAATCACTAATTCTAAAAAATGTCTCATTCACTGAAATTGTTCTCTATTGAAAATCTGTCATATTTCTCTGTAATTTCTTCTGAATTCTCTGAATCATCTCTATATCATTGTCATTATTTTCTGTCATATTCATATCAACATTTATTTCAGAGAACTTGTGAATTAATATTGAAGTTTGTGAAGAATCAGTATCAATGATTATTCATTATTTGAAAGAGAGAGTTTCAGAGAGATCAGAAGCTGTGCATTTATTTATCTATATTATTATCAACTTCTGTATAAATCTGAGAATTATTTCACTGATTCTAACTTACTTTTTTACTGAGAATGTTGAGAGTTTCAGTACTGCTCATAGTCAGAGAATCAATTGAAGTTAGAAGATTAGAGAAGAAAGAGAAAGAAGAATTAACAGTAGTAGCAGAGATATTAGTGAGAAGAATAAAAAGAGAATTATTACTGTTATTAAATTTCTTATTACTGCTGCTACTGTTGCTAACTGTAACTGAATTCTTATTAAGATAATCTACAAGTCTCTGAATATGCTTTATTATTTTATACATCTCAATGATAATACAGCTAGCTTCAGTATTAACATTATTTATTAAATTTGTAAGATTCTTCATTATTAATTTTTATTCTTCAATATAACTGACTATTATTCTTAAAAACTTATAATACACTTCAAGCTTGATAGTTTTAATATTAAGTTTTATCTTTTTAATTATAATTTTCTTCTTTTCTACAGTAACTTTTTTCTTTTCAATTTCTAATTTCACTCTTTCAATATTCAACTTGATCTTCTTAATCTTAATTTTAGCTTTTTCAGTGACACTGATGATAATATTTGAGACTTTCAGAGCAATAGTAATACTCTTTATATATTGAGCTTTCACTTTCTATCAGTAAGTTTTAACTTTTTTAATCTATTTTAAAAGATTCTTCACTGATTTTAATATAGTCTTCTTTATTATTTTCTTAAAATTATCTGATATAGAAAGATAAAAGTCATGAGTTCAGATCAGATTGTTAACTTATTCTTTTAATTCTTCAGAGATAATCATATATTTCTTTTTCTTATAATTGTAATTTGTATAAGACTTTAAGCTTCTCTTCATCTTATTATAAGCAGTATTCAAATGATGAGAAAAAATATACTTAATACAGTGTTTATATATTATTTATTTATCAGACTGCTTTATTAAGATATTCAGATAGCTGCTTACTTTCTTCTCTTAAGTCTTTACAGTAGTAGTATAGATACACTTAAGAGTATTACTTATTATTTTGAATACTACTGCTGTTATTATTATTACTGTGATTGATACTGCTACTATTATTATTACTATAATTAATACTGCTGCTGTTATTATTATTACTATAATTAATACTGATATAATGAATTACTAATATTCTTAATATACTATACAGATAAGATATCTTGATTAGAACTTTTCTAATTAAAAGCTTTCTATTACAACTGACAGAATACTAATCAGACTGAGAAATGAAGAAGAATAAAGTGAGCTGAGTGAGCTGAGAATAATCTTTACAGTGTATTATTATTGCAAGAAGAAGAAAGAAGAAAAGAAGAAAAAGAAAAATATAAGTCTTTATATATATTATTAATTCATCTTTGTAGATTATTATGCAATGAATACAAATACTTTTATATTTCATCTCTGAGTGTAATCAGCATATCTGACAGATTTCATTCATATCTTAATACTTTTTATACAGGCTATCACTGATTGAATTACAGCTATTTTGAATATAAAATCATTTCTATTAACTAGAAATAAGTGTTCAATGCACTGTTAGAAATATATCTACAGAATTCAAGATTTTCTGATATAGTGAAATCAGTGAATTCTTCACAGTCATAACTATATAAATTATAAGATAGAGAATATAACAACTTTCTTCAGTGAATATCAAGACAGATATATTCTAATTATATGTATTAAAGTATATATTAACTAATTTATATATAAAACTCATAGAAAACTAAATATATTGAAATATAAATAGATTATGTTAAAAATCTCTATATCACTGATCTGTCTTTCACTGAAAGTATCTCTGAAAATTTGATCTTTTTTCATATCTTCTCTTATATATCTTTTATCAGATGTCTCTTTTTTGCTGTCAGAGTATTCTAAATTATCTCAGTAAAGTCATCTCTAACAATTTACTGATATTCAGAAATATCACTTATCAGATCTCAGAATGTCAGAATATTTTATTATTACAGTATAGCTGTGATAGAATTTTCATTTATATCAGTATTATTAAATATTTTGATCTGAGTTATAAGATTAATATATATCTCTATTTTTCAGAATCAGTTTCTAGTTTTTCAATTCAAAGTTTTCAATTCAATATCTTTAACTAATGAATATTTAACTTATATTTCATATATTATTATTCTTGCTCAGAGAATCAATCAAAGTTGATGATTTCTCACACTCAGTAAAAAATCAGAAAGAACTTTTCAGCAGTAAATAAATTATAGAAGTATTTAAAGATGATTGATTCTTTATAGTAGTTATATAATCTGATTATCACTGAACTTTCTCTGCTCTTTATCTTCTTCTATTGAATATAATTCTATATTAATAAATAATTAGCTAAGTTGATCAAAAAAATTTTAATATCTCACTGAAAAGTTTCAAATTGTTCTAAGATATCTCATTAAAAAGTTGATATATTTGTTAAAATCTAATACTACTTATCTTCATTTCTTTAAGAGTTCAGAACTTTCATGTTTTAATTATATTCAGTATCATTATTCTGCTGAATGAAAAGATATATAATGTTTTATTCTTTATTTTTATCACATTTATAATCATTCAATTCAAATTATCTTTGTTAAAAGAAAGAAAATATATTCATTTTATCTTCAGACATAGACACTGCTCTATCAGTTAAATTTCCTTCTCATATATTTCTGTATTCAGATGTCAGGTTCAGTAATGCCTTTTTAATGAACTGCTTAATATCAGTGATAAGTTTGACTTCTTCTTATCTGACTAGTATTTATTATTGCTGCTATTATATTCACTCTATGTTCAGATATATTAATATTAGATTTCTTTTGAAATCAGTAATTTGTCTCATTAAATCTACTAGATGAGAGAGTTCAGAGAGATCTAGTAAAGCAGAATTCATAACAATATTCATTTTCAGAATCTTGATAGAACTCTGATAAATTTATGATATGAATAGAAATATAGTGATTTGATTCTTAATATTAAATTGATATAGATTGTCACTGATTACAGCTCTTATTAATATATTTCTTTTCAGTAATTTAATCTCATATATATCTCTTTTCAGTAATTCAACCTCATCTCTTTATTTTATCAAGATCACTTATTCACTTCATTTATATCTTTTCAACTACACAACTTTTTTCTACAAATTATATCAGAAAGCAAAATATTGTGTCTGTTTAATTAAAATTCAAAACACTATCTACTATCTGTCTCTAGATAAGAATTCAGAGATGATCAATATCTCTCTTTTCTGAAAACTGTAAATGAAGATTTCACTGATAATGATTCAGATATTGATACTTCTGATGAAGAAGTATTACTATTCTCAGTAAGTTTATCACTTTTAATATCTCTATTATTATAAAAACTAACATTCTCTAAAGACAGAGTCATATAATGAGAATGCTGCTGATAATGTTAAGTATATTAAGTGACTTTTAAAAGCAGCTGCTGAGAAGAATATTTTTAAAAATAATGATTAAGAGAATTCTGATGAGTCAGTTACTGATAATATTAAAATATCAGCTACTGATACAATTACTGTTACTATTACTGATTAATTTATTGATTCTGATTCAGTAATTGATATATCTCATAAACACAGTAACTTTGAAATGAATTCATTTATTCTGATAATAAGACTCTGAGCTGAAGAGTTAGATATTTTCTGAAAAAACTATAAATTACTACTGTAAATTCTGTATTTATTGAAGAATATATCACTGATAAGTCTGCTCTCTGAAGGTCTATTAACTCTGAAAAAGTAATGCAGAGCACAATTTCCAATTTTATCAGTTAAGAAAACCTCAATTTTAATAGTATTATTAATATAAATATTAACTCTGAGTTCTGCTTAGAAAAATCTTGCTGAATTCTTCATGAGATCACTATACTTTTAAAATCTGATTCTCTTGATATCTGCTCTTCTCAAATCCTCAACTTTTCAGTGATAAATGTATATAGAAATGACAGAAATTGTCAACAATTTCACAGAGTTATAATAATCTCACAGTTGAGAGAGCTCTGTTAAATATTATTTCAGTGAATTCATCTGATATTTATTAATAAATAAATCTATTTTTTCTTCTGATTTTATTCAGTATCAGTGTGAGAATCTTGAATGCTACTACAAATCAGAGTTGAACAATATATCTTATATTAAAAGAGTGCATTTTATCAGACATGATTGCTGATATTCAGATATAAGATCTTATATAATAGTTCTGAAAGTTTAAGAAGCTGTTCACTATACTCTGCAGACTGTACAAAGATTATTATTCTTGAATTCATTATTTAGTCTCTTCAAAATAATTATAATGAAGAATAAGATGAAATATATCTTAATTACTCAAGTTCTTAATTAACTTGATATTTATATAAATATAACATTTGAATCAGATTCTGATCTGCTGATATATAAGAGTTAAGATCAGTATTTTCTTCACTGAGTTATAAGAATTAAAACTGAGATGATTGAAATATAACTATATTGCAAATCTTCACTAATTCAGACTGAGTTGAAAATTACAGCACATGAATAAGATCTTTTAAAAAGTATATTTTACTCTGATATATAAGTTATTTCTCTGTTATATCAATTATTTATTAATGAATTTAACTTATATTAGAACATGTATTAAAGCTTAATAAGTTTTTATTTAATTTCTGCACTGAGTGCTGTTAAGCACTTAAAGTGAAATAATATTTTTACTCTAATCTTTGATTCTCATAATATCAATTTTTCTGATACAGTTACTGCATTGTTATATGACTTATCTATATTAAATTATAAGAGAGTTATAATGAATATTGATGAAAAAAAGATGAGAGTGATTGTATCTTATATTACATTTCTTAAAGATATACTGCAGTAAAATAATAATACAGAGATTAAAGAATTAACAGTAAGAAGATCATGCTAAAGCTGCTTTATTAATGATAAGAATTAATTAAATCTGAACTATAATCTATATAATAACAGCTGATTTCACTATTATATATAATATCTTCAGACTAAACTGAATAATCTATTAAATCTCACATGCAGAGATTAAATGTATCAAGAGTAAGAAATAATATCACAGATTATATCTCTTTTTCAGATATATTTAAGTTTGAATTTGATCTCTTTTTTCTCATCTGATTCATATCATAGTGAGTTCACTGATATATCAGAGATTTCACACTTATTACTGATCAGTACTGTCTTATTATTATATAATTAGCTAGAATACTTCTGAATATTACAGATATTTTCTTTTTCTCACAGTTAAAATCATCTACAGTCACTGATCACTCATCTCAAGAAGTATCAGCTTTAAGAACATGCTTAAGCTTCAATTATTATATCTCTTATCTTGTGATATAAGCTCAAGAAGAAATGACTCAGTCTGATAATTAAGTAGAGTATTTCTGTAGTATTTTCAGCACTAAATCAATCATCTATTAATCTTATTATTCAGATATATACAGTTATTGTAAGAAGTAATAGTTTATTAATATCTCAATCTCTGAGAGAAAATGATTCTGAAGTAACTTATTAAATTATACTTACAGTCTGTTAATAGCTATAATTTCTTATTAAAGCTGTAGTAAGAGCAGCAGTGATATTTAAATTATTCTAAGCTGATTCAGTTGTTAATTATCAGTTATCTCCTGCTTCAACAATGAGCACAGTTGCTATATATATCAGTGATTATACTAAAAAAGCAAAGCTTATATGATATATGAAGAATCAGCTGAATATATATATTAATTTACACTATATTAAGCTGATTAAAGAATATACTGTATCTAATAACTGTAATATTCTGACAGAGAAGAATAAGTATCAAGACTATAAGAATTTAATACAGTGAATAAATTATCAGAATATAGAGAAGATACTGCTCTTATAGAAGAGCTTTCACTATATTTTATAACTAATATTAAGAGATTCTTTTAACAGATCTGACTTACATCTGATATAGAAAATTCAACAGCTATATACAGTTTATTCAGCACTATTCAATAATCTGCTGAGAATGAATAAAGAACTAGATAATAATAATAATTCACTGAACTACTCTGTCAAGTTAGAGTCAATAAAAGATTATATTATCTCAAAGATTTTTAGTCATCTATTATTAAATAAGATGTCAGAGAAAGTCAGTATATAATTTATAAATCTCTTAAAACTTAAACTTCTTTATCTTTTTCTTAATAAGCTGTGAGAATTCTATAATACTAATTAAAATAAGTTCTTAGTTTTAAAACTAGATCATCATCTGATTCTTTTCTATAATAAGTTAATATTCTCAGTTCAGTATATTTATCAATCAATCAGTTATTAACTTATTACTAACTTATAAATCAGAGATTGTGTTCACTGAATCTCTTTTATAAAAGAGAATATCATTTAATATCAAGAGACAGAGCTTGACTGAATTACAACTATATTTATTCATAAAATGAGAGAAGTTAAGTGAATTTTCTTTATACTTATTTCTCTACATTATATCATGCATAATCATCTACTGAATCTGTCAATTTTACAAGAGAATTCTGATAATTACACTATTATCAGACTGTCAGTAATTCAAAAGACAGTATTATATAATATTTTAATACAGAATAGTAATGAAAATAATAATTATTTAATATATAAGTTTTAGATAATAAGATATTTGTATTACAATTGAGATGTCTCATTTCTTTAGATAGAATAGATAATTAATGAATAGCAGTTATTATACTGAGTAATAGATAACTAACTAGCTTAATAGTATTAGTTTCACTGACAGAACAGTATACAGTGTCTTATAGTATCTTAGTAGTATTCTGATAATGATATCTGTTAATTACATAGTTACTGAGTAGTGTTATAATAATGTTAGAAAGTTCTGTGCTGTCTCAATATTATCTTGATATTTAATATTCAGTGATATGTCACTGAATATAATAATGAAACATGTGTTACAATCAGTGACATGTAACACGGGTGAAATAGTGAATTCACAGTGTAATCACCGTAAATTAACTCTACGTTCTTCCGGTATAAATGATGAAAGAATTAGTAAGCCAGATCACGTGACCTGACACCCTCACTCATCAGAGTAACTATACACAATACTATATATAAAATTCGCCTTCAAATCAAGTACAGGTACAAAAAATGACTGAAAAATATGAAGTAGTGAAAAATCAGTTATAATATACATTATTTTTTATTTCTCTGTCTCTCTATCTTCTTTATATTCTCTTTTCAATGTGTATATTTCAAACAGTTGATCTCTTTAATACAGGTCTTGTAATAATACTTTCATTTCATAAAAGCTTTGATGCGTGTGAGGTTTTTCAGAATTGAAAGTGCAGTGATTTCAGAATCAATGAGTAGGTCTTCAAGACTGTTTCTCACTGAAGCTTTTCTCATTATAGTAATATTTCTTATAGATGTTAAAGAATTATCTAATTCAACTGTGAATTTCAGAGAGTTCAGTGTATTCTGCACTAAAAAAATAGATATTCTCACAGAGATATCATAGTCAATTCATTAATTATTAGTAAGTATGAGAAATAATGAACACTCAGATTGAATTTTCTTATCAATAAACAGATTAGAAATCACTATAGTTTTTTAACAGACTGCAGTGAGTAGATCTGATATTACTGAAGAAATCACTGCAGCTGCTTTACAGACTGTATTAAGTAGAATCTTCAGATTATATATTATAGTTAATATTAATAAATCAGCAAGATAAAGATTCTTCTGAAAGATGATGTCTTTTAATATATATAAATACTCATTAAAGAAATTCTTATAGAGTTTTATAAAACAGACTGATACATTAATAATCTCTGTGAGATTTACTATCTGAAAGATCTCTGAATTATCTGTAATAAATAGTTAAGTCTCACTCTCACTATTGTTCTTTTTCTTCTTTTCTTTGAATTTCTTTATTCTTACAGTGTTGTAGATTCTTCAATTATCTAAAACACTGTCTGAATTGATTAATCAACAGTTATCAAAGTGAGATCTCTTATATTCAGAACATATAGATGAGTTTTCTGATCTCTTTTAAGTACTACTATAATCATATTCAGTACAGTCTTCACAGACTGAATTTAATATATTATTATTAAAATTGATAGATGTAGTAATCATTGTATCTGTTATAACTATTATAGCTGTATTAACTGCAGAATCTATATTTTACAGATTCTTTTTATCTTTTGAAGAATTAAGCCGCGAATAGATTTTCTTCATGAGAAGATCAATATTCAATATCACAGCTGTGAATTTGAAATTCTGTATCTTCTCTATCTTCTTCTAAACATAATTTCTTCAATTGTTGAGTAGAACTGAGTAGAAGATATTAAATATTCACACATCTAAGAGAGAAGCATTCAACATCTTCAATTTTATAATAATGAACTGAAACTTATCAAAGAATGTGTGTAGATTGATGATCTGTGTGCTATCAAGAGACATGAATTTCAGAACTGTCTCACAGTGTAACTGTGTTTTGAGGACAGAGTATTCCTGTTTAATCGCATTTCATAGAGTATAAGTGATCTGATTTTCATCATACTTGGAGAAATGTGGTCTGACACCTGCACTCAAGAAGTTTGAGATGAATGTGTAGAGCCACCGGTTTCTGACGTCTCAGAATGGTGCTCATTCATCATCTTTTTGTAGAGAGTTCTGAGTCTGTTGTTTCTCTATCATATACCAGCACTGTGCATCAACCAGTTTTGATTTCATGAAGATGCTTCATGTGATGTAATTGAATGTGCCAGTCAGACTGTTTGATCTCACAGTATTCTTGACATCTTTCTTGAATTGAGAGATTGCCTTGCCAACACGGCTATCTGATTCATAAAGGTTGAATTCCAACCTTTCACCGAGATTAGGATTCCATGTGGCTGTACAGGCTGTTGATGTGGTGGCAGAATGATTGTTGACATTCTGTGGTCGATCTGTAGAGAATCTCTGTTGACGGAGTTTTTCCAGTTGTAGTTCGAGTTCTAAGACTCTTTGCTTCCCCTTGTCCATCTCAAGCATCATCTTGAGATGCTCCATCTGTTGGTCTGATATTGCCTCGCCCGAACGGTAGACACCTGAGTGTCCATTATTCTCATCAAGAGAATCAGCATCAAGCTGTCGAGTAGATCGGGGGGCCGGCCTGACCGTGTCAGGAGCTGTATTCAAACCAGCTTCGAATCGAGAGGGTGTTTCGACAATGGAGCTTTCAAAGGCTCCAGGAGGATGTCCACTGGCAGAGCGTGAGTGTGAAGAATCATCATCAACTCCAACTGACCCAGTGGAAAGAACGCGAGATCGCGAATGTGTATGAGGGCGGGATCATGTTGAATCCGCCATCTTTGTATTCGTTTATTGGATCCTTGCCAATATTGTTCTCTTTTTCTTGCTTTTTTGCAAATGTGGTGCGTTTTCTGCAAGCCTCTTTTTTTAAGCGAGCAGTAGTATTATTGATCATCAAGATCTCAAATGCATCAATACTGATAGAATAAGACGATTTTAACTCCTGATGGGCGTATCGAATGAAGCAGTAGTTCAAATAATGAGTATATTGACAAGGAATCCCGAATTGGCAGCGATTTTGCGCAAAACGGGTCTCATAACCTGTGGAAGGTGTAAAGCTTGTGTGATTGAAAGGTTGCTAGCTTGTGGAAAGTTATATGGTGAAAGGATTAGTAAGCCAGATCACGTGACCTGACATATTACTATTAGTGACAGGAATCCGACGAGTCGCCGATGTCAAGAGACTTAAGTTACATCGCTCTTCACAGCCCAACGCCCAGTGCAGTGATGTTGGGGCTGCTGAGCAAAGGTTCCTCTTATTAGGGGTTTCTTAGCGGGATTTTTAAAGTTTAAGCACCCGCCCTCTTTGCCATCGGTGTTTCTTGTTTCTGTGTGAGATTCCGTGAAGATTAGTGGTAATGAAGGCAAGGAGCGACCACGCCGCTTGAATCGGTGCCCCCGCGCTGGTGTGCAATAATAAATTAATAGCTCGCCTGAGGCACCCAACCAGCCAAAGCGGCCAAGCCTGCTAAGTTGGCTACAACACGGCAGAGTATATTTCTCACCAGCTGCCTACACATCCTCAGGCGAGTGTGTTGATAATTACTGATCTAGGACCTTGGTCTTCGCATTATTGGCATATGATAACTACCATACTCACGGTCCCTGTTCTCTCTTAGTATGGGCGAGAATCGCCTTGAAAGCCTTGAGATTCCAGAGGAAGAATAATGTTAAAATTTACGAGTATTCCTCCTACGTGGAGACAGCTCTCCTCATTCTTTGGCCCTTCGATACTCCTCTAACCCCCACCCTTCTCTACGCTAGGTAGTTCAGCTGTCGGCCACCTAGCACGCGAAGTCAAACTTCGTGTATCGCTCCCAATTTGGCGGTTGGTTCGGGCGTTTATTAGCGCCGGATACCCGACGATGTGTGATCCAGGAAGCGAAAACGTAGCGAGAGGGAAAAAAATATCGAAGGAAAGAAAATCGGTCGAAGCCGATATGCCATCTTTGGCCTCGGGTACGCTCCAACCAAGAACATGCAGGGCCTGATAACTCTCCTTCAACTTCAACAGTGCGGCCTTTTCTCGGGAACAGGGGGATCATAAGCTATTATTATGGAGAGTGCAAAAGGACATCATGTCACCGTCATGTTGAGCTTAAGTTGAAGCTAAAAAAAACCAGGGCGACGCCAGAGTTACACGTACGGAGCATGGAGTACACGTCATCCCAATTCCGCGCGTGGACCACAATCCAGTAATCGCTCGTGCCAAGCTCCGCGAAAAACAGCAGCAAATAAAAGCAAATAAGGTCGGCTAGCTGTGGAAACATAAGCTGCAACCTGTTGAAGCCGCTAATTGCCAGGGTCCAGTTAGAGAAATATGTCAGAAATGCCCAATGATTTACTCATATTCAGGTATAGAGATACATAGACGACAGTTTAACATTTTACGATATTGGCTTTCAAGAATCTGATGTTAAGAGCGTGCTCAGCTCACATCCATGGATGGATCCATCTGACGGTCGATTGCCCAATCGAACGTATCCGCTATTCATTTCCATGATTTGGAGGCAGGGGGCCCCAGGTTCAAGTTTAAGAACCTGGAGCATCCTCTCGTATTTATCAAATTGCTTCATTTGTCCTCCATTTTATCTTTCTAGATGTAGTTTCTCTTCAATCCGCATTTCGCCATGGTTGAGGATAAAAGAGGGATTAGTGATAGTTTTGTCATTGTGTCTTTTTAAGTCATGAGGTGCTGATGCTAAAAGCAGATATGCTGAGATGATGCTGAAAAGGTCACATACATGTGCAGCAAGATGGCTAGGGTGATCAAAGAGTCGGAAAAGGTGATTGGGGCTCCAGTCTCCCAATGTATGCACCTACCCATTGCGCCTCCAGAAGCAAAAAAACGCCCACCGCGAACAAAAATTGATATCAATACCTTCGTAGATAATCAAAGCGCATGAACACTATCTCTCTGTTACTATTGCCGTGCTATTGCTGTTCGCGCTTCGCTTTGCATTTTCCCTGCGCAAGATGTCCATTCCGTGCCGTTGTTCTAGTGAAAACCGTTCCACAATGAGGACATTCTGATTTCGTGGCAGTCCCTGCCTTTTCACGCTGATGACGCAGAAGATTGCTAAATGTGGAAAATTCACGGCCATTACAGCCATGATCCCAGCACTGTGGTTTCGGTCGAGAGTTCACAATTCGTACTTGGTCCTCTGGGGCGGGTGAGACACTGTATGGAGTAGAAAAATTATCAGCTGAAGCTGAGGTTGCGGGAACCCCTGTATCGGGAATAGGTGAAAAAGAATATTGTCTAGAACTAGCACAGTAAGAATTTAGGAAGACTAGAATCGGCCAAGGATAGGCGGTTAATATAACAGGGTCATTGTTTCAACTCACCTTTGATAGGGATGTAGCGTTTCATATAGTGAGGGGCTGCGCAGGTTAAAATTGTTAGACACTTCTTGTTGGTTAAGGTATTCAAGGTGATGGCTCCTTACGAGGCGGGATAAGCATGGCCGGTAACGTTGGGTACTGGGTGGTTCAAATAATCTGGAGTGAGGGAAGCCATATTTGTAGACGGATCGGAATATGGTTCCGTAGCAGGATGTGAGGTAAATCCGTGCTGTATGTATTCATCCCGTGAATTACTTGGACGAGACTCCTGATCCGGCGCGTGATGCTCAGATAACGTAATTGATATTCTATCTTTGTATTGTCTTGTGGAAGAAACCTGGGATTGCGGAACCGAATAGTGATATCCGCCTGGAGGAGGCATATTTATCAAGCCATCTGAGGGAATAGATGCCTGTGGGGGAGGATTCCGGTGGGTAAAATTAGTTGGAAATTCCAGCGACGAAGCGGATTCGGGTTCTATTCCGTAGGCTGCATTGAATATTGTTACTATCAGTTCAATGAAGAGAGTCGGATCATGCAAATAAATACCTGGAAGGTGCGTATGGCCAGGCCCAGCGTAATGATAACTGGGTTGTGCAAAGGCTGATGAATGCGAAGGCATATTGTAGTGAAAGGTACTGCTTTTGTACAACGAAAATCGTGAGCTTCAGAATATATTAATCTATTTGCTTCTTTCTGCACAACGGATTGGTTGTTTCAACTCACTTCATATGTTCTGTGGTATATTGCTCTTGTCTCGAGGAGAAACCGCTGTATCTGATTTCGGAGTTGGGTACTCCAGTAAACGACTGTGGTGTTGAACTCGAATCGACAGTAGCTGTCATCTGGAATGACGGCCAGTTTTGTTGTGCTTGACTGACTACAACTGCTAAATTCGCATCAAGAGCGCTCAGATCGGATGGAGCGTACTCTGGCGCCCGGTGAACGGCAATTGGTGGTGGCGGGGTAGGGGACGAAATGTTTAGGGCTTCAAACTGCGCGGCAGTAATCGTAGCTGGTTGATCCTTTCGAGAACTCCTAGATCTTTGGCTAGATGAGCTTCTTGATTGTTGACGTCTCTGTGATGACATGCTGTAGTTAAAAAAAAAATTGGCGCTCTGCCGGTCAAAGAGAAGAAAAGAGATAGGAGAAGCGGTGGAATGCATACATGTATTGGACAAGACCATATACTCTGGATACAAAAAGGGCACTGGAGATAGGAGCTTTGTTGGTTGTGAAATAGTTGTTCCCCGCACAACAGAACCCTTCGCAACAGACACGACGGTATTTGCGATAATAATGTCTCTCAACCGCAATTATATGAGGATTATAAAACGGAATGGAAATGAATTAGAGGAAAATGAGGGCGAACATTTTGGGGGGTAACAGTTTAAAGTAGGAGCTGCCAACCTCTCCACCCCATTCTGTTTTAAGAACAGATGCCCAGCCAAAACACTCAGCCATATTGCGCTGGAGCTTAGCCCCATTCATGCCAACCCATCTAGTAGGCCCGATTCATCATCATCTCCATATTAGGGGTGCAGAGTCGTGCGCCACGTCTTGAAATTGCGAGATGACAACTGAAAGGCCAGCCCTAAGGAGCTTGTTGGCTCTCCAGCATTCTAGCACATGCTATAGAACCCCGATCCCGATTTGATTCTGCACAATTAGTTTTGAATACCGCTCACCAAGACCACCACACAGAATTTCGCCTTAACAGGGTTGTAACAGACCAAGTTCCTTGATGCCAAGTAGTTTAGTTCCACATCCTGCCCAAGAGACAAAGTCCTGGACTCTACAGCATTCTGATCACTTCAAATAAAATTGTAGTAGCGAGTCATTGGAGACGCGCCAGGTGAGGAAGAAGAATGAAATTTCCATTTCATAGCTTAATCCAGGGCGGAGTTGTTTGAGTTGGGGGTGGCTAGCCAGAAGTCCTTTTGTGGGTGACATGCGTTCATAAGCTTCCAACTCTCCCTGGCGCCCTTTTTAGGTCCAAATATTCAAGTGGAGATCATCAAATGATGGGTATTCGTGAGGGCTGACATGCGGCTGCAAGGAAAGAGGAGCCAAACCAAGAGCTGATGGATACCTAAAACGACCCAAGCGGAAGAAGTCCATCAAGCTGCCAAAACCGCCGGGGTAAAGCCTTAAAGGGATGGTCCCAAAGGGGCTCCAATATTTTTGGGGGCCAGACGACGTATTTTGGTATCGTTCCGGGAGGTAACCTGACGGTTGAGTCTAATGCTCTTTAGACTTCGACCTAGCTAGAGCCAAGCCAGTCGGTTCATGCTCAGAACAGTAATATAGACACCAAATTCACAGGGTAATTAAATTAAAGAACTCAAACACCAGATAAGAAAGGTGATGACAACTTCTTGTACATCCGCGAGGATGCTCGATTACGGGGCAATTAATCCAAAGAGGGAAAAAAAAAAATCAGGACAAGAGCTCCGAGGTTCGTAGGCGCGGTTGTCTTTTCGCTAGGCATGGTGACTTGTCTTCTCTTGGTGACACTGCCAGGGATAGGGCTCCCGTCCAACTAACGATACAAGGTTATTTTAGGAGCGAAGGAGGGTTGCTGCACTTGGGCGAATCCGAAACTACCTTGAAGAACCAGGCAAAACCCTTGGTTTTGTTTTCTTGCAAGGCGTCGTACCACCCAGCGATTCCAGTCACGGGCTCCTGGGCTTAGCGGGCTAGTACCATTGTCGCGTATACCATCGCCTGGGTGAGATACATACGCAGCATATCTTGCAAGTCGATAGCTCGCCTGAAGGTGGCATGTCCTGCCTTCAGCCCAGTCCGCCACGCCTGCAAATAAGGCTCAACTCGCCAGTCCGGATGAAGGAAGGAGCTTCGTGCCGAACGCGCAACGCTGGCGGGCCAAGCCCTTTACTGCGAAGTTACTCCCCAGGCCTGAGTTACGCATAGTACTCTCACGGCGTTCTCACAAGCTCAAAGCTGC